TATTTTGGGAAAAACCATCCTATTTTTAGTTTTTTTGTGTTAGATTAGGATTTGTTTTGGCTTAGTATGAATAAGATATGTATCTATGATGTTTTAATTAAGTTTTATTCATGTTTTTCTCAACAAAGCTTGGAGTACAAGCAAAATTTCCCAGAATTTTTGTTACACTCCCGGACCAGACGGCGGAAACGTCCGAAGGCACGTGACTTCATTGTGCAGTATCATAAAAATTGAATATAAATGAAATAGAGCAATCCAAACATCATACATTGAGATAACAAACTTACATTGTTTACATATTGTATTTGTTCTTCGAGTTACACAAAAGATATATAAGTAGAACACTTCAAACTACAGCTAATTAGCCCTGCATCCGCGTTCCTTGTTACCTGATTACTAGATCCCTGAGAATACAAGTCATTTTGAAAAGCGTCAACTAAAAAGTTGGTGAGTTCATAAGCATTTTGTACAAAATCGTTTACACTTGTTTAGAAACGTTCTTATTGTACTTTCAGAAAATCCGATATTTTCTATTAAATCATTTGGAGTCTTGCCTTGAAAATCATGGATATGTGTATGCATGTCATTACTTTTGTTCCTCCTTATAAGGAGTGATTTTGAAAAGTAGTGTGATTTGTAAAAGCGAGCTGTGTACGAGGATAGCTCTTTTGAATAGTAATCGTCAATCGTTCCAAGAAAAACCCCTTATTTTCAAAAGGAAATATAGTTGAAAATCTTGTTCCTCTTATCGAGTAAAATTGAGTGTGTTTTCTAGTTTATCGTAGAAAAATCGTTTTCTCCAGAAAATCCTATATTTTCTGCTATAAAATATTCGTAAGTGCTAGTTCCAACTACGTATATGTGTGGGTTAGTTTATCGTTATCAAAACCGTTTACAAACGTTTTCCATGGAGTCCTACGCTTTTTAATTTGTAAAAATAGCAGTATTACGACTCTATACTTGTTAGGAGAAAGAATTAACATGAAATTTTAGACATTCTACGCGATGAAAAAGGACAGTCAACACAAAAAATGCGGACCATCACCTATCACGTGTAGGATGGTCAACACAACGTGCCAAAATTTATTTATGAGGTTTTCCTTACATGAATTTCTAGTTAATATAACATATTCTAGTGAGTCGTTATAACCATACTAATCTGACGGGGTGCCTGTTTTGGCGTTTCTCAGGCCCCTCGGTTTGGAAAAGACATTTGTCACCCTAGACTAGCATGTCTAGCTGTAGCGAACAGCGAAGGTGCGGGGTGTCAACCCCGTATAGATCTATATACAAATTCTCGCTCTCCCTCCAGGAGACTCTGGCTATAACTCCTTACAGGATTTAGACGTACACTAATATTTTTATATTTAGGTACTTTTACTAGAATATTAACAACCTTCTGAGCAATTGTTAGAGATCCATTATTTGTTAGATAAATGATGAAATTCGTACTTATTGAATAGAAATATCATTCTCATTCCATATCGTTGATTGTGCTGGTTAACTAGGTGCTCATGTTCGTTCCTTTTCATATCGTTCTCGTTCCATATCATTGATTGTGCTCGTTAACTAGGTGTTCGTGTTCGTTCCTTTTCGTTTGTTGAAAAAAAAGTCATTTTAGTCAAGAGGAAAAGTGTCGAGTTATAATTTGTAAAAATCTATAACTGCCAGTTATGACACGCATTTTCTGTTTTATGACATATAGAACATTAGATATGTTGTTAGAGGTTTTACGACAACAGTTTATGACATGCAAATATTTCTGTCATAAAGGCTCTATTTGTGTATTTTCTTGATGCAAAATTTTATATTGAATGTTTATAAAACACTCCATGATAGTTTGTAAAATTGTCACAAAGTTTCCATTTTCGAAAAATCACTAGAAATAATGTCAACTTATCAAGGTCCCTTTTCATAAGTTTTATCTCTAGACATGAAAGCATAGATAAAGGGGTTAAGTTGGACACAACCATATGTTGGGTGACTCTTTTGTTCACAAAGTATCCTTTGTTCCTTATGAAGTTGTGAAATCTTTCGTTCATGAGGATATTACTAAAATAATATTTTAACAATATTTCACACATACATACAAATATACGTATACATGTAATTATTCAAATATTTAGGCAAGATTTGACTTGTACTCTCCCCCAAAAACATTAAAATATTGAAAAAAAAAGTGGGGTATGAAGCTCACCTTAGTTGACTTGTTGGGTGATTTGAAGAGCTGAGGAGGAGTTTCCAAGTTCCAACACTTGGGAGTTTCTTTGAACTTAAAAATATCCTAAGAATATTTTTGTGTAAATGCAATGAAATCTTAGAATAATGTGAAGAATTATTGTTCAAAGACGATAAGAATACTCACCAAAGAAATCTGGGAATTTCCTTTGAAGAGATGAACTTGAAGCTTGAAGGAGTTGATAGCACTCTTAGAAGTTTGCTGGAGATGAAAATGAGAAGTGGGAAAAGGAAGAAGAGGAATTCACGTATTTTAAGTGGAGGGATAAGAGAGATATGACACTTGCTTGGAGGATTGGTGTACAAGACTTATATCCATAGGTATTTTTGAGTTTAACTGGGATTTGCTTGTAAAATGAGGAAGTTCATCAAATTACAAAGTCAAACTTCCTTTGGATAAGGTTTTAGGGGTCTTAGTTAAGAAAAACACGAGTTTAGTGGAATTCCCATCCTAAAAATACCTTAAAATGATAAAAAGGTTCGAAATCGTCTAAAATCTGAAGTCAAGAAGTGAGTTCCAGAGGCACTATGTGAATTCAGAAGCTATATTGCAATTTCCGAAAGTGTTGGGCGAGTTCCGAAGCTCCTCTCCTAATTATGGAGTCCACAGAAAAGATCCGGAGTGGCCTTCTCGGAATCCGAAATCAGATGCGAGATCAGAAGCTGCAGGAGAAGTCCGAAGGTGCGAAGGCTGGCTTTGACTTCCGAAGTAGGCCTTCAAGCGAGGTCTTCCAGAGTTGAACCGAGGAGTCCGAACTAGGTGATTCCGGAGCATGGGGGTTCCTCTTGGCTCCTTAGGAGGCATTCCGGACTAATAAGGTTCCGGACTAAGAGGGTTCCGGACCAAGAGGTTTCCGGACCAAGAGGGTCCTTTTGGGGTTTCCTCTTCCGGTTTTGAGTTGTTTTTTACTGAGGAAGGTACTTATGGAGATTTGAGATATGTGGAGAGATTTGTGAGAGATTTCACATACTTGGAGAGATTTGGGAGAGATTTCACATAATTGGAGAGATTTGGGAGAGATTTCACATAATTGGAGAGATTTAGGAGAGATACACTATTCTTGGAGAGATTTCGCATAGTTAGAGAGATTTGGGAGAGATTTCACATACTTAGAGAGATTTACGAGAGGTATCTCTCCCAAATCTCACAATAGCCCTTGTTTACTTGAGAATGAAATTTCCTAACCAAAAGGCTAGTTGTGACAATTTTTCCCGTGTTTTGTGCTTCACTTGTTCCGCCTCTATATCTTGTTTTTATGTCTTTGGCATGTTGTGATTTCTATGTTTCTTTCTTTTTTGTGATAATCTATGTGAATTAAGTGAATTAATTCCCAAAAATCTTTTTATTTTGTTTTTATACAGTAAGTATGAAAAGTGATTGTAGGCCTATATCATTCATATTTTAGTGTACCCTTAGTTTGACCACTCAAACAATGTTTTGTGTATTTGTAATACATGTTTAGTATACCATCCATGTTTTTTAACTACACTTATGCTTATCCATTTACGTGCTTATGTGACTACAACAACAGGAGGGAGTGGTTCTAGAGAAAATACTCAACCAGCTTCATTAGCCACAGAGGAAGTGGTTCCAAGTAAATACTAGACACTTAGTCTTTTATTATGATATTACAAATTATGCATAAGATGACGTATAATTTATGTTGTGTAGATCAGCTACAGAGGCAGAAACAAGGCGAGACTCGTGGTTAAGGGTTACTGCCAGGAGGAGGGTATCGACTACGAAGAAACCTTCGCACCTGTTGCAAGGTTGGAATCAGTTCGGATATTCTTATCATACATAACTCATAAGAACTTTGAAGTGTTTCAGATGGATGTTAAATGCGAGTTTCTAAATGGTGAATTAAAAGAAAAATATATGTTAAACAACCACCTGGGTTCATTAATGAGAAGCATCCAAATCACTGCTACATTCTGGATAAGGCTGTCTACGGATTGAAGCAAGCTCCGAGAGCCTGATATGAAACTCTTACTCGCTTCCTTAAAATTTCTAAGTTTAAACAATGTTCGGTTGACCTAACCTTCTTTCGTAGGAAAGAGGGTGACCACTTGATGATCGTCCAAATTTATGTTAATGACATCATCTTCGGATCCACTCCCAGCCTCACAACTGAATTTCGAAAGTTGATGGAAACTAAGTTTGAGATGAGTTCAACGGGTCCTATTAACTTTTTCCTTGGATTGAATATAAGGCAGGGACCAGAAGGTATTTTCATTAATCAGGAAGCATATACAAAAACTTTGCTCTCTAAGTTCGGCATGATGGGAGACTCTAAAGTGAAGGCTCCAATGACATTTGGAACGAAACTCACACCATCTCTGGAAAAACCAGCTGCAGATATGACCCTTTATCATCAGATGATTGGTTCCTTAACGTATCTAACAACTAGTAGACCGAACATTATGTTTTCCGTTTGTTATTGTGCAAGGTTCCAAGCAAACCCTCGCGAACCTCACATGGTGGTAGTGAATAATATTTTCAGATACCTAATGAGATTTATTATTATTTTAATTGGTAGTATTATTTATAAACATAAAACCTAAGAGGAAATTTAATTTCTCTTTTTTTTATATATTTATGATCTATGATTAAAAGTTAAAGAGCAAAGGAAATAAGCCCAGTCAAGAAGGTAGGTAAGGCCCATACGAATGCAACAAACTTTGAGGTTAGAAATGTAATTTTCACGTTCCCCTCCGGAGACAAAAAGGAATTCACGGCAAAAACTTCTGTTCACGGATCAAAGCGAAGAAGACGATGGCTACGACGTCGTTCCATCGTTACGCCGTCGTATCGCTTCTCATGATCTTCTTCATACAACCTTCGATCTCCATTTACTGCGACGAAGATGATTGCTACGATCTACTAGGGTTAGCTATAAATTACCCTCTCCCCTCTAATTACTAACAGTTTCACTTTCACCCCTTTATTTTAACTAAAATTTTGTTGATTGATTACTCTAGGGTTTCTCAAAATGCAAATGCATCTGAAATCAAGAAAGCTTACTATAAGCTCTCATTGAAACAGTAAGGTTCTTGTTAATTTATGTAATGTACAGTCGAATTAAGTTTGTTGTTTGATATTGAATCGAATTTTGTTTCTACAGTCATCCGGACAAAAACCCAGATCCCGAATCGAAAAAATTGTTTGTAAAAATTGCAAATGCTTACGAGGTACCCAATTTTATTTGAACATCTCTATTGAATTATTTGCAATTTAATGCTCTACATACCCTTCACGCTTAATAGAAAACCATAAGTTACTTTTGCGTTCAAACAGGTTAATTATCGACTTCAAAATTGATGTAAATTTTAAGCTTTTTGAGATAATTTCTTAACCGTGTTAATCTATGGTGTAAATTCGTATCTGTTTTTTTATCAGTTTTGCTATTGAACTGTTCTAGGTTTAACGACAACAATCTAAAGGTTTCTATTTCTATGTATGTATCTATTTCAATAACATAGCGATGCATTAAACTATAGATCAAGTACTGAAACATAAAAAAGAGTATCCTGCTTAAAGGAATAATTCATAACATAGGGTTATGAACTTGTGCTTCATGGGGTAAAATGACACTTGTCGCTTTCCATTTTCTTTCATAGATCTTAAAAGATGAAGCTACAAGAGGGCAATATGATTATGCAATTGAGCACCCAGAGGAGGTAAGTTACAGAATTCATTGCTATATTTCAAATCATGATGAAGTATTTATGCTTTTTTGATAATTATTCCCCCCTCTCTTCCCAATTGCAGGTGTTTTATAATACAGCTCGATATTATCATGCTTATTATGGTCACAAAACGGTTAGTTTAAATAAACTTGCAATATGTATCTTTCTGTTTTGAAGTTTGTAACAAATCTTTATTACATTCTTTCTATCATGTTTAAATAGGATCCTCGTGCTGTTTTAGTGGGGACTTCTTCTAATTCTCTCAGCATTTCAATATTTGAATCAGTGGACAAGGTATCATCAGGTAAATGACATGCTATTATACCTATATACATGTGTTTCTTTTTTACTCAATGCACAAATAACGACTCAATAGAGAAAATACTAAATCAGGGAAATGGATATAGTAGTTGAATGGATAATAATGTATGTATGAAGTGTTGTATACAAAATAATGTTTTTTTTTTTTAACTGAATAATAAAGTAATAAACTGTCTGAATGTGAGTAAATCACCATTTGGTCTAAAGACTCCAACAAACAAATTTCACCATATTCATCACACTATTAACATTTGAACAAATCAACAAATAGAAAAACATCAATTCATCAATATTACTTTTTATAGGCTATTGACATGGTGAAAAGAACACCAGCATACAAAAATAAGTTGAAGGCATTGGAACTTGAACGAACTGGAGCATTGTCAAGCAAAAAGAAGGGTGGTTACAAGCTTGACAAGTATGAAACAATCTCATTTCTCATTTACCTTTTTCATTTTTTTTTTAAATTAAATCCTTTGTTCAAGATTACTCTCTAAGCTATTTTCCATGAGGAGGGCATTTACGTCTTTTACACAAACAATGTCAAAGAGCGAATCTTGTTCCACCTTTTTTGGGTGTGGGACAAAAAGTTGCAGTTTTTTGTCCTCACACAGTCACATTTTTGGATGAGGAGGGCATTTACGTCTTTTTTGAAATTAAGCAAGAAATGTTTTTTTTATATGACAGGAAAACACAGGAAGAGCTTAGCAAGGAACTTGAACTACAAATAAAAGGTGCTGAAAAGCCATCAATGTGGGGACTTCTTGCTGTTCGTTTTATACTTTTGCCATACACCCTTGGAAAGGTCTTTTTATATATCCTATCATTTGAAATTTGTAGCATATATATATCATCTTTGATTTTTTTTTTTTTATTATTATTTTTTTTTCAGTTAGTTTTATGGCATGGATCTTGGTATTGGAGATACAAAATAAACCGAACTTCATATTCTTGGGAAGATGCATCTTACTTGACTAGAAGAGCTCTTGGGGCACCTCCTGATTCATGGGAGTATCTTGGTAACTATTTCACAAGATTTATGTTTTTTTATTTTCTTTGATTTATTTTATATATCTCCTTCTTTTCAAATTATAATTATACTACTATGAATTTAACCGATTTTAATTATTTAGTTCTCTGATTCTGATTCAACTTCTACCAAGAATTATCTTTCCGCTATTCTTAACATTGTGAACCTTTAACAATATATATATATATATATATTTTTTGTCGTTATCTAAATGTTGAATTTTTTTTTTCTGATATTTTATCGGGAAATCTAGAGAAAGTCCCAAACTTTTGGGAAAAGTTTCAATAAAGTCCTAAAAGTTTTTTTTTTTTTTTAAAGGGAAATCTCCAGAAAAGTCCTAAAATTTTAGTCCAATTTATGAAAAAGTCCCAAACTAATTTTTGTTTACAGAAAAGCACAGAATACCGGCTAAAACTTCGAAAAAACCCTTTTTGGCCGGTTTCATAGATTTAGCCGGTATTCTGTCCTTTTTCATTAGTTTGCTCAAAATATTAGGACTTTTCTGAAAATTACTCGATAACCAAAATATTGGGACTTTTTTGAAAATTACTATGGAATTAATGGATATTATTATTAACAAATCATTTATAAACATAAAAAATATTTTTTTTTATTATAAACAAGGGAAATACATTTGTTGTTAATTTCTAGAAATAGAATGGTCGACTATGTACTTCTCAATTGTTTGTTGACCACTTCAAAGTCTCTATGTTCTTCATATGTATCGTTGTGGGTGTCATAGGGAGAAGTACTCTATTAGGCGTGACCAATACAAGAGTTGATAATATTTATTAATACACAATCAATAAGTTTCTGCTTGCTATTAAGCATGATGCTATATGATCATGTGTTATTAGAAAATATCATTACACAAATATATAGATCTTTCATTATGTTTTTTAACCTAACTACCACCTAACCTCCAAACATTACCCGGTAACAACCATAAAATTATGCACATCTATCGAGAGTGAAAAGTAAACTTTGAATGACAATTTAAATAGATAATCACCCTTCACTTGTTTCCATATAAATTATCATCCAGGGTTCACTTTTCACATTTTATAGATGTGTGTGATTGTTAACATGTAAGGTATGAATGTTGGTTGGTAGTTAGGTTAAACAACATAAGAAGAACACCAACATTAGAGGAATGCTAACTAACTTCATCTCACCATCATACCCACAACAATGCATAGGAAGAACGTAGAGAGTTTGAGTGGTCAAGAAACAATAGAGGAGTACTTAGGCCACCAATATTTTGGTTATTATGTAATTTATAAAGATTTGTTAATAATAATATCCATTAATTTCATGGTAATTTTCAAAAAAAAATCCCAATATTTTGGTTATTATGTAATTTTTGGAAAAAGTCCCAAAATTTTGAGCAAACTAACGAAAAAGGACAGAATACCGGCAAAATCTGCGAAACCGGCCGAAAAGGGTTTTTTCGAAGTTTTAACCGGTATTCTGTGCTTTTCTGTAAATAAAATTTATTTTGGGACTT